GGGTCACACAGCTAGTAAGTACCTGAGGCAGGATTCAAATTCAGGTTTTCCTGACTCCATGCCCAAGTGCTCTATCTTCTACACTCCCTAGCTGCCTACTTGGCCCCTCCTTTTTGTCCCTGAAAGACCATGGTTGTGGGTTGTTTGTGTGGTTGAACAGGAATCCAAAGAAACAAAATGGAAGGTCCTAATGGACATGAACAGCTGGAGGTGATTTAGAAAAAGAATATTTATGGGGTCTACTTTGTGTACAGAACACTCATTCTAGTAGACTCATTATATTAATAGACACTGAAGGGAAATACAACACAAACATATTTTAACCTGAGAAAGCTTGCAGTCTAAAAGAGAATATGGCAAAAATACATATAAAACCTCACACAAAAGCAAAATTTCAATATCATTTTAAAATAGAAAGTTAAACAAAAATAATGAGGAGATGTTAGGATGTATAGAATAACTAGAGCCAGTAAGTTACCCTAAGAAGAGTTCACATGGACTGATGCAAGAGACAACTCATATTAATAAAATACTTCAACTATGAATAGTATTTACAAATTACTTGATTCACAACAATCCTTGTGATAGATAGGGAAAGTATTACCTCCTTTTTATATATGATAAAATTGAGGGCAACAGAAATGAAAGATTATAATAACAATAGTGACTATTTATATGGGCCTTTAAAGTTTATAAAACATTTTATGTACATTTTCTCATTTGATGAAGTGACTTGTCATCAAATATTAATAGCTGGAGTAGTTAAAAGCTGACTGTTTTCAACATATGGAAATTTGCCTTGGCTTGGGCTTATCCATCATCATTAGAAATTTAAGAAACTGAAATCTTTGACAATAAAAATACCATTTTTTTACATTCTACATCCATGTGCCATAAGAATTCTCAGTTAAAATGAGTCCTTGAAAAAATCAATGTTCAAACACAAGCTAAAACCAGTAACTTTTAAAGTCTGTACTCAAAAGTCCAAACAGTTTTTCTTATGTCAGCTAACAATCTATTACAAGACCGAGGAACAAATGACTAAATCCTCTAAAACCACACAATAGCAACTCATACTTAACAAGCGGTTCCAAAATATGCTGATCTCAGGCAAAGATCTAAGTACCTAAAAGGAAAACAACAGCAAAATGCATTTATACACACTACTTCCCTTTTGAGAAGTTTTACAGCACTACTAATTAGAACACTGAATATTTGGCAACAAGACCAACTTTTCCAGTAAGTAGCAAATACATTTTCTCAACTTATTAGATGTAAGTAAGGTAGGGTTTTTTTGTTTCTTTATTTTTTCAGGAAGATGAACTAAAATGGACTTTCTTAAGGCCAATGTTACTTTCTGATTTGAAGTTTCAAAATTATACTAACTTTTAAACCACTGGGTTATTATTTAGCATTATGAAGGGATAACTTAATAAAGTGCCTAATTTACAATCAGAGTAAACAAGAAGTGCAGGTCCTGACTCATTAAAAAAAAAAACCACTCTACTTAAAATGCCCAGAAAGAAAATATACAGAATATAAGGAAGAAAGAAGGACTGTAGGGACAAATGTGCAATTTTACTCTTTGGTTACAAATTATGTCACATATGACTATAGAATGGGAAAACTAAAGCAAGAAGTAGGCATTGGTAATAACAAACATTTGTATGGTGCTTATAGGCTTGCAAAGGGCTTTACCTGCAATAATCCTGTTCAAAGTAGTACAGATATTATTATCCTCATTTTTACAGATGGGAAAACTGAGGCTCTGATTGCTCAAAGTTCCATAGTTAGTAGGTGCCAAAGACCAAATATGAACCTAAAGCGCTCTTTACATAATAATATATTTATCACATAAATCTAATATAATTACCATGAGTCAGGTGAATACCAACCTAGTCAATAGTGTTCATTTCTGGATATGCTTCAAAACCTGATTAAGGGGACCTGACTAAAATGACACACCATAAAATAATCAGAAGAGATAAGTATCTTTCACAGCTACAGCTTGGGGGAGGGGGATGTGTGCTTAATCAAACAGACGATATAGGTGATCCCAAAAGATAAAACAGAATTTCAGTTAAGAAATTAGAAAGGTTTTCGGTAAACAAAAGCAATGGAGCTAAGAAAAAAAGGAAGCTGTCCACTGGGGGAAAAAAATCTCTGTATCAAATATTTCTAATAAGGCTTTGATATCCAAGACATACAGGAAGCTATAGCAAATATAAAGACCAAAAACAAATAGGTAAGTGAGCAAAAAAGTTGAATAGTTAAGAGAACTATAAGCTATTAACAACCATTTGAAAATCTGCTCCAAATCACTAATAAGAAAAATGTGAACAAAATAACTCTGGGGTTTTACCTCACAACCAGCAAACTGGCAAAGATGGCAAAAGTTGGAAATAGTTAATATTAGAGGGGTTGAGGAAATAAAAAAATAGGCACACTACTACACTGCTGGTGAGGTTATCAACTGGACCAAAGATTGTGTAATGTAAGGAATTTGGAGTTGCGCTAAAAATCTAACTAAAATATATGTACCTTTTGACTCCAAGATCCTTTAGCTGAGTATAAAACCCAAGGGAGTCAAAAGACAGAAAGAATATTTCTATACACACAAAAATATTAGAAGCAGCACTTTTTGAAGGACTGAAAGAACTGGAAAAAAAATGGATGTCTATCAATTAGGGAATGGCTAAATGAATTGCAGTACATTAATGTAATGGAATATTATTGTGTGTGACATAAGAAATGATTAGTATAAAGATATGTACTGGGAAGCTTTAAATCACTGATGCTGAGTGAGGTATGTAGAACTAGGAAAACAATATACACAATGACCATATCAATCTAATAAAAATAACAAAGAATGAAACAGAACATTGTATAATCATAATAACCAAGCTTAGCCTCAAAGAGATGAGAAAATACAACTTCTTTCTTTTGTTGTAGAGGTGGGGGACTATGGGTATGGAACACTACACATACTATCAAGCTTAGATGATCAATTGATTATTTTTTTCTTAACTGCTTTTTTCCCTCATTTTTATTTTTTCTTGATAAGAATAGCTTGGAATATAGGGGAGACAAGAAATATATTACATTAAGAAATGGTGATGTAAAAACAAAAGATAAAAAAATGTAAAATTTAATTGAGAATGTATTTCAAAAAAATGAAAAAAAGATTAGTTAGAAAAGATCTTAAGAAAGGTAAAAACAGCAGGTAGCTAAGCTTAGAAAGGTGGCTTCATTTTTTCCCTTTTTAAAAATACAAATATCTTTTTTTTGGCCAAGTTAATCAAGTTTGCCATTTCTTACCTCCCCTTCCATAGCCATTCAGAAAAATCATTTATCCAGATGGAGGAAAAAAGTGAATAATCAAGGTAGTTGCTGTAATCCTTTCTCCTTTATCATTGGTTATTTAATAATTTTATCTTCACTCTAGAGTATTTATTCACTATACTATGTCATTTTCTTGATTTTTCTTTTGTTATCAGCCTCCCTGTTGGTTTCTTCATGAAGCCTTTCCCAAAAAGGTTTTTCCTCTTGTTATTTTCATCTATTTGTCACATTTCTTGCTATTCACTATCTACCTCTGACCCATTCCTCCAGCTCCTGCTTTAGAGCCATGTCTTCCTGATTGGTGAAAATTCCTCATAGATAGCTGGCTTCATATCCATCATGCTGCACTCTAATCATCTCCTGCCATGTCACCAAACCTGTCCTATTGTACTCTCCATCTCTATAGTTTACCTTTTGTTCTGGGAACAGTAATCAAATTAATACTACCATTATTAGAAAGGAAAGGGTATATCAATCAATGGTCCTAAGACTCTACTCTCCCTTTCTGTGACTTCCCAGATGAAACCACATGTCCCTGGCCTCTAATCCTCTATATCTGTTGTCTTCCCCATTAGAATGTAAGCTTTTGGAGGGCAAGGATTGTCTTATATATTGTATGTGTATCACCAATGCTTATTACAGTGCCTAGCACATTGCTATTGTTGATGTCCAGTTGTTTTCAGTTGTTTCTGACTCTGTGACCTCTTTTGGGGTTTTCCTGGCAAAGATACTGGAATGGTTTGCCATTTCCTTCTCCAGCTCATTTTAAAGATAAGGAAATGGAGGTGAACACAGTTAGATGACTTGCTGTCTGAGGCCAGACATGAACTCAGGAAGATGAGTCTTCCTGACTTTAGGCCCAACACTCTAGCCACTGCACTACCTAGCCGTCTGCCTCACACATAGTGAGTATTTAATAAATTCTTTTCCCTTCATTCATTATATTCTAAGGTAACTGAGGTGAGCTAAAAAGACGTGCCCTTTTATTTAACCATTTTGCTAGCAGTGACAAGTACTTTTAAAATAGTCGATTAATGACACCTATATTTTTTCTTTAATTCATTACTTCTCCTAATCTCATGTATACTTTATTCCTTCATAAAAATAATTATAAGATAAGGTAAACTACTTATGTACGGTATGGTCTCCAGCAAGAACTGATTTTGTGAACAGGCATCCAATTGTTCCACAGTAGACTATTAATCGTTTCTCTTATAAAAGTCATCTTAAACTTGAACTTAGGAACACAATCTACACAACCTTAACTATGCCAATATCTTGAAAATTTATAACACAGAGTTAGCCATATAAAGAAAAGGAAAAAAAAAGCCAAATAAAGCAAAAAGAAGATCTGCCACTCTTCCTTACAATCAGGCAAAAGATAAACACCGAAGATGGTGAAAAAATGAATGACAGAAAAATCAATATGTATACTTTATGTAATACAAATGTGAAATTATAATTTTACTAATTTAAGTATAGTTCTTTACAAAAAATCTGTTGCTTATCACATAATGGCTTGTAAAGTAGTTACTTATGTAACATCTTGTATCTCCTACTACATCAGTCTATCTCATATCTCACATGGTGCTAGTCACAGTACTTTGTAAAAGAAGGTGTTGCATTTATTGAATGAACAAATAACTGAACATACTCACCCTTCTAAATGACACAACATAAAAGGTATCTCCCCTTCTTCGGATAGCTTCAAAGAAGTCTTGATAACTTCTAGGTGAGGCATAATAAACTTGCAGCTCACTCCCTGAATTCCTATGGAAACAAGGAAAAAAGAGAAAGGTATTGCTTGCACATGAACATATTTATGCCTTATCTGAAAGACTTTCACTTTAAGGATACCAATGTTTCCCTTTAAAGCATTTCTATACTTGAGGAAATAATTAGTTTCTTGAAATAATATTAATTTAATCCAAGACATTATCTAGACATCCATATCTGAAACAAATGAAAATATCTGACAACCAAGGCTCCACACCAGAAAATGTTCTAACTCATTTGATCCCAAATCATATTTCCATTTTTCAACTGGCAAGAGACCAAAATTGTGGCAATAGAATCAAAATACAAGTCCACTACAATTATTAGTAAAATGTGGCAATTTTCTTTGTAAAATAATAGCTTTATAAGCAACCATCATTTACAAATAGCAAGCCTCACAATTCCTACCCCTTCTAAATTGTTTATCCTTTTCGAAAACTGAAAAACAGAAACATACTAACCAATTGTGTGATTTGGTGAATTTTTTTTAAAAATTTACACAGGGGGTGGAGCCAAGATGGCAGAGTAAAAGCAGTGACTTGCTTGAGCTCTCCCCCAAACTACTCCAAATACTTGTAAAAAATGACTCTAAGCAAATTCTAGAGCAGCATAACCCACAAAAAGACAGAGTGAAACAAATTTCCAGCCCAAGACAACCTGGATGGTTGATGGGAAAGGTCTGTTGTGCTGGGCTTAGAGCGCAGTTCAGTGTGGGCCACACAGGCAAAGATGGGGCCACACAGAGAAAGACGGCCCCAGCAAATCTGGAGTAGGCCTCAGGGGACTGAATCATGAACAGTGGCAGTTTCTAGACTTCTCAACCCAAAAACTCCAAAGACAACCAACATAGAAGGTCGGTGGGTGGGAAAGGTCTGTCGGACCTGGGTGAGAGAGGACCGTGGACCAGTCCTGGCCATATCACAGTCCTGGGGAGGCAACCACAGTGGCAGTGACTGCTTCCGGAGCTCTCAGTCCACAGATGGTGGGGGGATCAAGCGGCTGATCAGAGGGGGATTGCAGGGATCTCTTTGCTGACACTGAAGCAGGATTCTCTTGCTTTGCCCATGGTTGGATCTGGGCCACAGTCCTAGGTGGTGATCCTGGGGCAAGGAGGAGCATTAGTGAGGCAGAGTTTGTGGTGGCAGTGAAGGAGGAACCCTCCCCACAGTTCCAAAGCAGAAAAGAGTACGTGTGGTCACTCACAGACCAGAGCACAGGCCAGGAAAGGAGTAAACATCTCTCCTTTGATCATACCACCTTGGAAGAACTGAAAATATACAGGTTCCCAGAAGTATCTCTGAAAACTGCTGCAAAAAACTCTTGAAGTTTGGGACAGCACACCCGCCATACTGGAAGCAAAGCCCTACCTTAACAAAGAGTTAAAAAGTTAAGTAATTGGCGGGGAACATGAGCAAACAGTGGAAAAAATCCTCAGACTATAGAATCTTACTTTGGTGACAAAGAAGATCAAAACATACAACCAGAAGAAGACAATAGAATCAAAGCTCCTACATCCAAAGCCTCTAAGAAAAATATGAATTGGTCTCAGGCCATGGACAACCTCAAAAAGGATTTTGAAAAGCAAGTAAGAGAAGTAGAGGAAAAACTGGGAAGAAAAATGAGAGTGATGCAAGCAAATCATGAAAATGAGTCAATAGCTTGCTAAAGGAGAACCAAAAAAATATTGAAGAAAATAACACCTTAAAAAATAGACTCACTCAATTGGCAAAAGAGGTCCAAAAAGCCAATGAGGAAAAGAATGCCTTAAAAAGCAGAATTGGTCAAATGGAAAAGGAGGTCCAAAAGCTTACTGAAGAAAATAATTCCTTAAAAATCAGAATGGAGCAAATGGAAACTAATGACTCTATGAGAAATCAAAAAATTATAAAACAAAACCAAAAGAATGAAAAAAAAAAAAGATGATGTGAAATATCTCATTGGAAAAACAAGTGACCTGGAAAATAGATCCAAGAGAGAGAATTTAAAAATTACTGGACTATTTGAAATCCATGATCAAAAAAAGAGCCTAGACATCATCTTTCAAGAAATTATCAAGGAAAACTGCCCTGATATTCTAGAACCAGAGGGTAAAATAGAAATGGAATGGATCCACTGATCACCTCCTGAAAGAGATCCCCAAAGGAAAACTTCCAGGAATATTATAGCCAAATTCCAGAGTTCCCAGGTCAAGGAGAAAATATTGCAAGCAGCCAGAAAGAAACAATTCAAGTATTGTGGAAACACAATCAGGATAACACAGGATTTAGCAGCTTCTACTTTAAGGGAACAGAAGGCTTGGAATATGGTATTCCAGAGGTCAAAGGAGCTAGGATTAAAACCAAGGATCACCTACCCAGCAAAACTGAGTATAATCCTTCAGGGGAAAAAATGGATATTCAGAGAAATAGAGGACTTTCAAGCATTCCTGATGAAAAGACCAGAGCTGAATAGACAATTTGACTTTCAAATACAAGACTCAAGTGGAACATGAAGAGGTAAACAGGAAAGAGAAATCATAAGGGTTGTTTACATTCTTTTATTTTTTTTTATTTTTATTTTTATATTTATTTTTTTTGCTTGGGCAGTTGGGGTTAAGTGACTTGCCCAGGGTCACACAGCTAGCAAGTGTTTGGTCTGAGGCTGCATTTGAACTCAGGTCCTCCTGACTTCAGGGCCGGTGCTCTATCCACTGCACCACCTAGCTTCCTCAGCTGTTTACACATTCTTACAAGGAAAGATGATTATTTGTAACTCATGAAACCTTTCTCATTATTAGGATAGTTGGAGGGAATATATATATATATCTAATCTATATATATATATATATATATATATATATGTATACACATATATAGACAGAGGGCACAGGGTAAATGATATCTAAAAAGTAAAATTAAGGGGTGAGAGAGAATTGTACTGGGAGAAGGAGAAAGGGAGAGGTAGAATGGGGTAAATTATCTCACATAAAGGAAGAAAGAAAAAGCTTTTACAGTGGAGGGGAAGTGAGAGGGAATGAGTGAATCTAACTCTCATTGGATTTGGCTTAAGGAGGGAATAACATACATACCCAATCGGGTATGGAAATCTCTCTTACCCTACAGGAAAATAGGGGGGACGGATGATAGAAGGGAGGGCAGATTGGGATAATCAGAAGCAAACACTTTTGAGGAGGGACAGGGTCAAAGGAGAGAACAGAAAAAATGGGGGGGTTGGGATAGGTAGGAGGGAAATACAGTTAGTTTTTCACAACATGACTATTATGGAAATGTTTTGCATGACTACACATGTATTACCTATATTGGATTGCTTGCCTTCTCAATGAGTGTGGGTGGAGAGGGAGAAAGGAGAGAATTGGGAACTCAAAATTTTAAAAACAAATGTTAAAAATTGTTTTTACATGCAATTGGGAAATAAGATCTACAGGCAAAGGGGTATAGAAATCTATCCTGCCTTATAAGAAAATAGAAGGGGAAGGGGATAAGAGAGGGGAGGGGTGGTTTGATAGAAGGGAGAGCAGATTGGGGGAAAGGGTCTACAGAATGCATGCTTTCTTGGGGTGGGGGGAGGGGAGAGATAGGGAGAAAATTTGGAACTCAGAATCCTGTGGAAGTGAATGTTGAAAACTAAAAATATATTAATTAATAAAAAAAATATATACAGCAATAACTAAGCTACTCTCGCTATTAGTACAGATTGCATATTTTGCCATGTCAGTGTAGACATGTTATATATAAGTATGTTAAATGAGATAAAAAATCAATTGCAACTACTTCAATTCTTATTGTACATAAAAGACATGGTAAATTCTGGAAGAAGTATAATCTAGAGAATAAGCAAAGATGGCACAATAAAGAGCTCAGCTCCTTCCCAAACTGCTCCAACAATAATTGAAGAACACCAGATTAAGTAGTGATTGAGAAACCAAAGAAACTACAATGGGTCATTTCTCCAGCACAAATGCACAAATTCAATCTACCTGCAAGTGACCAGGGCAGGAACTATGACAGTGGTGGGATGGTAACAGAAATTCAACACCCAGATATTAGAGATAGGTGAGCAGAGTGAAGACTCAGCACAGGCCCAGGCCTCTTCCAGAGGGGACAGGAAAGCATATTTAGTGCTCAGAGTCCCAAGTATGGGGTCATCCAGAGAAGATGTGGGACTCGGTCCCCTTCCCAGGACACAGAAAAGAGGCTGGAACCCTGACTTAGTCCTCAGAGCTCTCAGCTAGGCCAGCAGACAGATCGCCTAGAGCAGACTGCTATCAAAGATTAAACAAACAACAACAAAAAAAGATAAAGACCTATTATGATGACAGAGATACCCAAGACAAACCCAGAAAAGGAGAATAATTCTAAAACACCTCCAAGCAAAGCCTCAAAGAAAATTAACAGCTTTTACACAAGACATAAAAATTCCTAGATGAAATGATACAAGAGGTTTTGGGTTAAGTTAAAATATGATACTATAAATGAAATGCTAGAAGAAAGAACTGAGATTATGAGAAGAGGGTGGAGCCAAAATGGCAGACTAGCAGGTGTGATAGATGATTAACTGGATCCCTATTTTATTGGACCCCTACTTTATTCCAAACAATATTAATCAGTTTGACATGATTCCATAGGGGTGGTGATTATAAGCTCTGTTAGTAGGCCTCAAAGCTGTGAACTACAGAATGTAAGTTCACTTGCTTAATCATAGGAAGCTAACTAGAGGACCTCCACCCTTGGCTTTCCTTCTTATGTTGACCATGCCCCATACAGCAGAGATGACTCAATTACATAAAAAGTCCCCTATTTTTGTTGCCTCTCAGTCCCTTGTCATTCCTTCACTGCTCAACATAGGAAGATGACCCTGAGCACATAGCCAATGAACGAACCTGGTCGCTGGCCTGTGGGCTTTCTACCAGCCCATGTGTGTGCTCACTGTCTTGGTAGGACCTCCTGAAAGGTCGAGATAGGCCTGTTAAGGTCTGCTCACTAGCCCATTTGTCAGCCAATAGGATTCTATATTTTGCATAGACCATCCTGGAGGGTCAAGAGCAAGGTCTATCCACCAATATGACTCTATTCTCATCTGTTCCACTTATATTGTCCAGGTACCAAGCATGATAAAAACTAAGGCCCTGGAGGAAGGGGGCATCTCAGATTGTGACGAAGATCTGAGGTACACTTTAATAGAGGCAGCCATGGACCCTTTAATAAAGTATCATTGGCTCAGAGTTCTGCCTCAGTGGTTTTTCTTACAGAATGGACAACTTTGAAAATCCCTACAAAGGAAATAGTACAGTGAGCTTCCCTCCTCCCAATACTTTTTCCAAACAGATCTAAATAATGCACCAGACAAACTCCTGATGGGGAAATTCAAGAAAATATCACAGTGAGTAACTTTTCCAGCCCAAACTGACAAAAGAAGAGAGGTATAGGGACACTTAGGAAAGGGTCTGGCTAGAAGTGGCCTAATGGAGTACTTGAGTACCTAGGGAGAAGCAATGTACCAGCGTAAAAGGAGGTCCCAAATTCATATTGGGGTATTACAAAGAAACAGGTGCATCTGGAAGCTTTGTCACCCACTACCCAGTTTTGGGTCACAGATTCAAGTGGAATGAGGAAGGAACTTGAGCCTAGGCAAGATGTTTCAGGGAAAGGAATGGCCACAGGTGGTATAAGGGAGAGGAATAAGGTAAGAAAGAAACAGCAAAGGTGTGACCCAGATACAAAGAGCAGAGCAGGTTCTCAGTCCCAACCTCTAGTTCAGCCTGAAGCCTGAGGAGGAATAACTAGAGCAGAAATCACAGACCAAAGGGAAGCCTGCAATTCTGTCATTCTGAGCCAGCAGAGCCTCCCAGGTGACTGATAAGAACTGAGTTCAACAGCATTCTATTGTCGCTTAAACTGAAACCTAAGTCAGGAATTAGAACTCAGACTGAGGAAATAGCAATCAGATTTTTCCCCGGATTAGATCACACTGGGGACACTGAAAGCTTGTGGATCCCTAGACTGTCCCTAAGATCCTGGAATAACATTTCAAAACCCCAAGAAAGAAAGAACAGGTCCAACACAGATGCAACCTATAAAAGTGCAGCAAAGCCCAACCTCAACATAAAATCTGAAATGAGCAAGCAGCCTGGAAGAATGAGCAAGCAAACAAACAAAAAAGAATCCCACCATAAAAATGCAATTATGATGATAGGAATGCACAAGAAACAAACCTAGAAGAGAATTACTCCAAAACATCTACAAACACAGCCTCAACTTGGGGTGGGTATAGAATCAACAGAATTCATGGAAGAGATAAAGCAAAAGGTTTTTTTGCTTTTTTTTAAGAGACAAAATTGTATTTATCAATGAAATAAGGGTGCTGAAGGGAAAAAAGGAAAAGAAATGACAATGACAGAAGAAAGAATTGCTTGAAAAAAGAATTAACAACTTGGCATAAGAGATATAAAACCATGCCCAAGCAACAAACTCTGAAAATTCAAACAGACCAAATGGAAGCCACTGATTCCATGAAGACAATAATATATTAAGACAAGTCAAAAGACAGAAAAAACAACAGCAGATTCAACAACAGAAAATGCTTTGACTTTATCAAAGAAGAGGCATTATCATCTTCTTTACCACTGTTCCCTAAGGACTATGGGGCCTGTCAATCTGACTTTAAGCTGAAACTTTTCATATGTATTATTTTCCCTATAAGAATGGGAGCTCCTAGAGAGCTGGGGATTGTCTTAATTTCCCAATTTATTCCCAGTGCTTTACACATAGTTAAGTGCTTAATATATGCTTCATTCATTCATTTGGTAGAATCATTCTGGAAAATAGTTTGGAACTATACCCAAAAGTTGGACATCTTTGACTCAGCAATCCCATTAGTAAGACTTATCACAAGAAGATCAAAGAAAGAGGAAAAGGACCTATATGTACAAAAAAATTTATGGCAACTCTTGTTGTGGACACTAAGAAAGTGCTCATCAATTGGGGAATGGCCGAACAAATTATAGCATATGAATGTAATGGAATATTTTTGTGCTATTAAAAAAATAAAGAGAAAGTTCCTGTGAAGATGTATATGGATTGAGGCAGAAGGAGGTGAAAAGAATCAGGAGATCCATACTATAACATCAACATTGGAAAAACAAACAGTTTTGAAAATCTGAAGAACTCTTATCAGCACAATGATCAAGGATGACTCCAAAAGACAAGTAAGAATACTACCCACTTCCTGATAAAGAAATGATGGACTAATATGCAGAATGAGACACACATTTTTAGATATGGCCACTATGGAAATTTGTTTTGCCTGACTATGCTTATTTGTTGCAAGTGTTCTATTTTCATTTTTCTGAAGGAGGGCAGTAGGAAGGAGAAAAAGAAATGTTTGCTAATTGCAAATAAATAAATAAATAAATAAATAAATTAAAAAACCCTTAATGCACTAAAAAGATAAGTATATAAGAATTTTTTCAGTGACTTTCACTATTCTTCTGTTTTAACAAATAGCAAATATTCAATAATGCCTTATTTCCAAACAAAGTGAAAACCTGGCATAGTCTGGCCAAGGGCTTAATTTTTTGTCAGTGAGCTTTCACCTTTTCTTACCTGATGCTGGTTGCTTCTGTATACTGCACAGCCATAAGCTGAGAATTAGAACCATGTTCCAGAGAATTCTAAAGAACAAAAAATAATTTTTATTACAAAAAAAGAAATAAGGTCTTTTTCATGGACTCCAGTCCATGACTAAGCCCTGGATGATTACAGGGTTCATGCAGTCTGTTTAGGTACATTCTGGTTAAGAATGTTCACATATAGTCTCTATATGTGAATCTGTTTAATAGACCTAAATTCTCTTCAAATGGGCTTAACAAAACACCAACACCTATAACTGTACCTGCATCTGTAGGCCAAACATCAAATAATATGTCCTGGATATCAGATATGATGAGAAAGGAAGCGACCCAAAGGAATGCCACATAAAAGAAAAAAGTCTGTGCTCTAGCCAACAGGCTCCACAAGTTTTAACATCTAAGATATACAGAAGCAATGAACGCTGGAAATAAAAAACTGTTTTGCAAAATGTTATAAATGTAAAAGATAAACTATGAAAATATATCGTATTGTTCAATGTATTTAACACTGCTCAATACACATGTGAACTGAGTCATAACTCAATACATTAACTCATTGATCATAAATATAACCCGATCCTGAAGACACAAAGTAGCCCACGATTGCCTTAAAAGTCTGCTTTCTACCACATGCCCATCACCTTGTGTCAATAATAGTTGCAAAAGATGATGTCCTCAAGCCATAAGGATCTGAGAGTCCCAAAGTTTATCACTCATTATTCGTGTTTAAAAAGCATCCTTTCTATTGCCCTACTTAAACAACTATTTAAACAATTAAGTTCTACTTATGAAAAAAAATTTCACTTATTAGAGTATTTTTTTTTGCACTGTTCCAAGCTGTTATTTACTGGATTCAGTCAGCCCCATTTCATTCCAGAGGGAACAAAATTACAATGTAGACTTAGGATCTTAGATTGAGCTCTAGAAGACACTTTAGGTAGTCCAACCACCTCAATTAATATATGAAGACACCTAAGGTCCATAGTGGGCAGCTAGGTGGCAAAGTAGATAGAGTGCCTGGCCTGCAGTCAGGAAGACTAATCTTTGTGAGTTCAAGTGTCTGGTCCCAAACACTTACTTGTGTGTGACCCTCGGCAAGTCACTTCATCCTGTTTGCCTCAATTTCCTCATCTGTAAAATGATCTGGAAAAGGAAATGGCAAACCACTCTAGTATCTCAGAAAACCCCAAATGAGGAGAGTCAGACATGATTGAAAAATGACTGAAAAACTGAAAAGGCCCAAAGGGGTTAAATGAACTGTCACCAGTTTTAACAGCTGTAAACAGCAGAGCCAGCCAGTATTTGAATTTAGGTCCTATTATTCCAAATCCAGTTGATTCCAATTCCACTAACCCGCAAAGGATGAATTGACTGACACAATGTATACTTGAGGTGTACATGGTATCCAACTGAGTACCCCTAGGCACTAACCAAAAGGCTGTGTTGTCTTTTTAAACATAAAAAAACTATCAATGAATTAAACAAAATAAAGTAGAAAATTAAATTAGAGATAGGGTAAATACAGGCAGATGCACCAGATTTATTAGTTGATTAATTTTAAATGACTATTGCTATTTTGGCAAAAAAGAACCAAGAGAAGCTAACTAAACTTTCTTTTCCTCCTTTTTCTAGTCTTAAGTATGGTTAAGGGTGAGAAAAGTTAAGTTGCAGGGACAATAAGTAAATGAGAAATAGATATAAAAGGAATCAAATGGATTCTCATCTATGCTAGATCTAAAATTTACATCATTTAACAAGGAAAAACTGCCCCTTGGCTTTATACTTTTCAAATATCATAAATATTACATAACATCGGCACTGGATATACAATGTTGTATATTTTTTAAAAAAATGTTTACTATTATAATCTGAGGCATTCATTTGTATCCTATGTTTCCAACAGTTTAGAATTTACTTAATCTGTAATGATGAAAAATCTACTGAGTAGGTTTTTTTTTACCAGAGGTGATTTAAAATTAAAACATTCATTATCAGTCCCAACAAATAATTAATTAATTAAACGTAATGAAATAAATAATTAGGACTTTGTCAAAAGTGATCTTGGGATCCCAACTATGGCACAGCCTTGTAGATGGGAATACTTTATATAAAAATTCTTTCCATACTTCAATATTTAAACACTGGATGGAGTTCAAAACTGAATTCTGTTTTACAACAAATAGTATCATAGCAAGACTTTTATAAGATATATGGGGAAAAAAAAACCTTTTTTTGAATTAGTATCTCATAACATCTTAAATGTCTCTAAAAATGTTAATTAATAAAGCATAACAAATCAGAAGAGGTAGTTATTATAATTCCTTCATAAATAGGTGGCTGGGAGTCTTAACTATTTATCCATATAACAGAAGCCAACTGCAATTAAGAAAGTCTGGAACAGGATTTTTCAGATGATTTTTTAAAAATGAAACAAAACAAAAAGTATAACATGGCCAGGATCTTCATATTTTGTTTATACTTGGAGTCAATAGGCCACTCACCACATTATCATAGTGAGCTTAATCTGAAGCTTTTCTAGCTTTCTTCTCTAGCTCTGCTTCCTTTCAAATCTGACTTATTATACCTTTTCTTTTTTTGGTTGGTCCACCACCAAAGCTGTCTTTGTCTTCTCAGGCATCTCATTATTGCCCTCTGGTGTGAGACAGGGAGTACAGACAGCAAGTGGAAAAAAACAAAGATCATGTGAAGGGAGTCGAGGGGAAGGGAGATGAATTCACTTACTTTCCTCTATTTTCTGGATGCCTACTTACACTGATCAAAGTTCAATTTGAGTACATATTTAAAAAAAGCATTATATTTATTTATTCTCAAGGAACAACAGTTACAGAGACAAACACATTAAACAAAAATAAATACAAAAAAGCATACCACAAGTCAGGACGTGATTGAGGTAAGTGGTTTAATTATAATAGTCAGATTTTCTGAACCAAAAATGGGAACATATGTTCTGGCAAAAGATATTCCTTCCACAAGGCCTTTTTACAATGACTTTTATTTCTTGAAATCAGGTCAGACCATATGGTCACCACAGCAATAGACAGTGAGTGCTCTGACTTCACAGGAAGGAGGGAATATTTCAAGATAATTTGATCTAGAAAGGCTTCATGAAGAAAGGAGAATTTAAATTTTTACTTGAAGGATAGATAGGAATTATACATGCACAGAGGCTGAGGCAAGAATTCCAGATGAGGGAAAAATATGAAATTTTGAGGCAAGAAAAAGCATAAGACTTGTGCTGAAGGAAGGTGAGTAATATGAGTAACCAAATTGATTGGAGAGAGGGTTCATCATTTCCCCAGAAAACAGGGAAATGATACTATAAAGGTAGACTAAGGCTGGATTATGAAGGATCATGTTTTGACAGACTAAGTAATTTTAATTTTATCTTACCGATAAGGGGGGGGCTCGGAATGCTCTGGAGCAGAGGAATGACAAAAGCAAGCCTCGGTTCTCTGACTCTACAGATTAGCCTGATCAGTCACTGGAAAGAAGCAGAAGCATGAATATCCTCCTCCTTCTCTCATGGGGTTCAAGCCATTTAACCTTTCTGGGCCTCAATTTCTCAAGTGTAAGATGAGAAAGTTGGAATCAATAACCTCTAGGGTCTCTTCATAATTTAAATTGACAGTCCCATGATATGTACTTCAAGTGGGAATGGATGACTAACAACTTGCTTTTCTCAAGCCAAGTGCTTTATATTATCATATTCCCCATTCCCACTTGCCCCATAATCTTAAATCTTCAAGGAAATAAAAATTAGATCTTGTTTTAGAAAGAGTTACAGATTCCTAATCACACTGGTGTTTTAGAAAGCTTAATCTGGGGCCTGGGTGTGCAAAAAATTAGAAGGTGAGAGACAGGAGTCAGGGTAAGATACAAGGAGGCTAAAATAGTAATGTTATCAACACTGAGCAAAGAGGTTGCATAGTCCTTAAATACAGACAACCTCAAACCTCATTTTAACCATTTAAACATCTCCCAAGTTTTTTTCAAGCAATAAATTGGATGATTTGAGATTTGGATTCCCTTTTCTTCTGCCTATTTAAAAAAAAATTATAGGGCATCCAAGTGGCGCAGTAGATAGAGCACCGGCCCTGGAGTCAGGAGGACCTGAGTTCAAATCCAGCCTCAAACCAAACACTTGACACTTACTAGCTGTGTGACCCTGGGCAAGTCACTTAACCCCAATTGCCTTAAAAAAAAAATCATAAAAAAAGATGCTAAGGAGGTCAGGAGACGATTCTGGGAAGATGGTGGAGTAGGTCAGAAAACACCAGGCTCTTCAAATTTCCACCACAAACAAGACAAAACATCTCCTCAAAGTGAACTTAGAGTAGCAGAAATAATTAAAAGTTGGGGTAATGCAGTTGTCCTTCTAAGACAACTTGAGAGGACCACAGGAAAGACTTGATCTTCAGGAGCAGAGGTTTGGCCAGAGTGAAGTGCAAACATTTCCAGGCCAATTCTGCTGAATCTACAAATAAGCCCTCACCCTCACAGACAATGTGCGGGTCAGACAGCTGAGCAAGGGAAGATTGAGGCTATCTCTACTGTTGCAGGATGCCAGGTTCAGTTGTGCTGACCAGACATGGTCCCTGGGCTGCAGCTGCAGGTGAGAAGGACCTAGCACACACCTAGTAAGTGTAGTAGCAGAGAGGTGGGGACTCTGCTGGCTATGGGCACTTGCAGGAGAGAGGAATCTCTGGTTCCCATTCCAGGGCAGAGGGATGTTTGCAGCCCCGTGGGAAGGACCACAGGGAGCAAGAATATTTGTGGTGACAGCCCAGCTAGGCCCCAGAGAGGAATGCCCAAGGTCAGGCTCCCAGACTTAGAAATCAACAATAGCCACAAAAAAAAAATCAACAATATGGAAAAAGCCTGAGGCATTACCCCCCCCAACCCTCAGAACTAGAACCTATTAAAATAATAAGCTCCTAAAAAATAATGAGCAAACAAATGAAAAAGAACCCAACCATAGATGGCTACTAGGGGAATAGAAAAGATCTGGATTCATACTCAGAAGAAAAGAGTAAAATTTAAAAAGCCATTCCTACTTAAAAAAAAAAAAAGTCAAATGGTCCCAATCCCCAAAAGAGTTCTTGGAAGAGCTTAAAAAGGACTTTAAAAATCAAATAAGAAAGGTTGAGGAAAACTGGGGAAAAAAATAAGAGCAATCTAAGAAAATCAAGAAAATTATAAAAAGAAAGTAAACCAACTGGAAAAAGAGATCCAAAAGCTTAAGAAAGAAAATAACTCCTTAAAAACTAGAATTGGGCAAGGGGAAGCTAATAACATTATAAGACACCAAGAAATAATAAAAAAAAATTTCAAAAGAAGGAAAAAAAATAAGAAGAGAATGTGAAATATCTCATTAGAAAAATAACTGATCGAGAGAACAGATTGAGGAAAGACAATATAAGAACTATTGGACTACCTGAAAGATATGCAAAGAAAGAAAAAATCTTGATATGATATTACAAGAAATAATTAGGAGAAATTGCCTTCAAGTTCTGGAACAAAAGAGTAAAACAGAAATAGATCCGAAAATGAAAACTTATAGTAACATCATAGCCAAGTTTTGAAGCTCTAAGGTTAACGAGAAAATACTAAAATTAACAAGAAAAAAATAATTTAAATACTGTGGATAACACAAGATTTAGTAACTTCTACATTAAAAGACCGAAGGGCATGGAATATTATATTTCGAAGAGCAAAGGAGCTGGGTTTGAAACCAAGAATAACTTACCCAGCAAAGCTAAGTATAATCCAAAATGAAAAGAAAAAAAGTATCAAAATGGACCCTTAATGAATTGAAAGACTCAGGTATCTGTGAAAAAAAGACCACAACTCAATGGAAAATTTGACATATAAGATCTATGAGAAACATAAGATAAACATTAAAGACCAATTATAAGGGACTCAATAAAGTTAAACTGTTTACTTTTCATACAGGAAAATATTACCTGTACTCTTAAGAATGTTATCATTACTTGGGTAGTCTGAAAAAGCATATACAGACAGAAGACTTGGGATTGAGTTGGTATGATGGATTGAATCTAAAAATTAAAACTGGGTAGGGAGAGGTAAAAATGGGGCAATTATCTCATACAAATGAGTCATAAATGGAAGAACTGTTACCGTGGAAGCAGGTGGAGGTGGAAGGCTGGTAGGTTCTAGAGCTAGAACCTTATTCTCATCAGAATTGGGTTAAAGAGGAAATAACATATACATCTAGAAGGTTTAAATGTCTTCTAAATTTATAAAGAAATAGGAGGGGGAACGGACAGGAAAAGGGAGGGACTTTTAGAAGGGTGTGTAGATTAAGGAATGAGAGGGTTGGGGGAAAGGATAAGGGAGGGATTTTTATAAGGGTAGGTGGATTAAGGGATAGGAGCCTTAAGGAGAAAGGATAAGGGAGGGATTCTTAGAAGAGGTAGAGATTAGGGAGGTAGTGATTAGAAGCAAAGCAGACGTGTGAGGAGATAGGGTAAAAAGAGAGGGTGAGAAGGATAATAAAGAGGAAAACAGGATATAGGGAAATACACAACTAGTAATTACAACTTCGAATGTGAATGGGATGAACTCACTCATAAAATGAAAATTGATAGCAGAATCAATTAAAAATTAGAATCCAACAATATGTTGTTTATAAGAAACACATTTAAAAATGAGAGCTATAGACAGAATTTATTATGCTTTCTTTAGCTGAGGTAAAAAAAAGCAGGGGTAGCACTCATGACTTCAGACAAAATAAAGCTAAAATAGATTTAATTAAAAGAGATGAACAAGGAAACTACATTATGATAAAAGGTACCATAGAAAATGAAGTAATATCAACACTAAACCTATATGCAGCAAATGCTATAGCATCTAAATTTTTAAAGGAAAAGTTAAATGAATTAAAGGTAGAAATAGAGAGTAATATTACACCAGTGGGGGACTTTAATCCTCCTCTCTCAGATTAGATAAATCTAGCTGAAAAATAAATAAGAAAGAAGTTAAGGAGGTGAATAGTCTTAGAGAAGCCAGATATGATAGACATATGTATGTCTATACATATCTGGAGAGAAATGAATGGGAAAAGAAATGAATATACTTTTTTCTCAGTGGTATGTGGTACCTTTACAAAAACTGACCATATTATTAGGGCATAAAAACTTTAAAATTGGGAGAAAATTTTCATAGATAGTTTCTCAGATAGAGGTCACATATTTCAAATTTATAAAGACTTTTGTCAAATTTATAAGAATGAGTCATTTCCCCAATTAATAAATGGTCAAAGGATGTGAACAGGCTGTTTTTTTAAGGAAAATATCAAAACTATACATCCTTATATGAAAAATTGAAACAATTTTGAAAACTCATCTTACACTTATCAGATTGGCCAAAATGACAGAAGGGGAAAGTGACAAATGTTGGAAGAGATATGGAAAAATTGGGATAATTCACTGCTGGAGGAACTGTGAACTAATCAAACCATTTTGGAGTGCAATCTGGAATTATTCCCAAAGAGTTATAAAACTGTGTACACCTTTTGACCTAGCAATACCACTATTAGGTCTGTTTTCCAAGGTGATGTGGAAAAAGGAAAAAAAAAACAACTTGTATGTTCTAAAATATTTATAGCAGCTTTCTTTGTAGTAGCAAAGAACTAGAAATTGAGGAGATGCCCCTCAATTGGGGAATGGCTAATAAGTTGTGATATGTGATTGTGATGGAATACTACTGTCCTATAAAGACTTGTATGAAATAATGCAAGTGACGAGTGAAAAAAAGTAGAACCAAGAAAACATTGTACTTATTATGTACAGCAATACTATTCTAAGAACAACTTTGAACGACCAAATCATTTTTTGAGTATTATAAATATCAAACGAACTACAAAGTACCTATGAAGGAAGATGGTATCCAAAACCACAGAAATAATTGATAAACAGAAGTGTCATAGTATGATTTTACACATATATACTTTTTTGTGCCTAATGGTAGACTTCTCTAGGGCGGGGTGGGGAGGCAGAAAAAAATGCACAGCAGAGAACAAAAGAAAATTTAGAAGGTAACACAGAAAAAGTAGGGTAGCTTTGAAAACAACATGTAGTATTTATTAGATAGTTTAAAAAAAAAGTAAACTGTGAAATGGAAATTCATGCGTTTTAAAAAATATTGAATCCCTCTTTTATCTTGCAGTGTGTACATGGAAATATTCCTTTTTTTGTCTTTTTGCATTTAAGTTCAAAATGAATAAAATTTTTTTTAAAAGACGCTAAGAAACTAGGAAAGAGAGTTAAAAGAAGTAATGTGTCTGGATCACCTACAACTTCTTCATCAATCAAGGATGGTCACAAGCTGCCTAATTTTTTAAATTGGGGAGTTTAATTGTCAAGAATAGTCTTGTAGTAATGTCAGCTGCTTCCTTTCCTTTCCTTTATCTTTTCTGCTAAATATTACAAAATCAGTGTTATAAAGGAAAGGAATCAATCAAAGTATGCAATGGTAAAATGTTAAAACAAAAAACCATCATAGTTAAGTAATTCATCAAAGTTTTATAGTATACCTTATAAGACTTTTGGGTCTCTTCAGAATCTGAAGGAGGCTAAAGGAAAAAAAAGTGGAAAGAAATGAGAAATGCTAGAGGAAGCAACCAGTAGCACTCTATTGTAAGAAGAAAAACTACTGTTCAGTGGTTTTGGAGTTATAATCCTTACCCTGCCACCAATCTATCATGTAACCTTGTTGGGGGCAGTGTGTAACTAAGATTTGGCTATGACCTTGGCAAATTTAAATCTGTACACATCTTACTTCTCTATATGATAAATGTGAATCTTTAATCTAATCCCTTGTTTCTTTACTGAAAAACAAATAACCACAGCAGTATGTATCAGTAACACGTAAAGAGATAGAGGCTTGACATAAAAACTGTAAATCTCTTTGAGACCCCACAGGCAATTAAGCCCAAGACCCTTGGAAATGCCAATGACTCCCAGACCACTAACCCTACTTTCAGTCTGACTCCTGCAGTCATCATTTAGGGCTACAACCCTATCAACCTCTGCAACCTAGGGCTTGCCATCCCCATCAGTTGAGCATATGCAAGGTGGATCAAACCTTCTCTCAGACTCAGGTGGAGATAATCCAGGACCCTTCACCCATACACCCTAAAAAGAGCAGTACTCCCAGAGTCTGCCATCATTACTTCCACAGCTATAATCACAGGGAACAATCCTTATGGAGCAGAAATGTGACATTCCCACCACTACTACCAACCAATGAGCAATTGCCAGTAACTAGAAGATTAAGTCCAAGAGCTCTGGAAACAACAGCTCCCCTTCTTTTCTCCTACTCCCCAACCAACCCTGCTTCTATCCCAGTCCCCATACTATCCATTGAAACAATCCCCATAGAAATAAAAGCTATCTTCCTCAGCAGAAACTACAACTGCTGCCTCCTTGGTAGCCACAGCTACTGGACACCCTGTGGTTGAATTGTAAACTCAATATCAGAAATGGATAAGGTTTTATCAGTGTAAATGACACTAAAGAACATTCATTACATCTGCTTTGTCACTACATTTTAAGGACCACTGGGCCTTCCCATCTAACTTGCAGCTAAAAGTCCCTTTATGTACTATCTCTCTCATAAGAATGTGACCTCCTTGATGACAGGGACTGTCTTGCTTTTTTCCCCTTTGTACCCCAAGTGCTGAACATGGTACTTTGCCTAATAAATGTATAAGCACTCAGTGAATGCTTATTTACTAACTTATGCCAGGACATTAGACAAATTCACTTTGCTACTAAATGTTTTCCTCTATACCAGAAAGTTACCTAGGCTATTGTGGGAAGGAAAGAAGGAAGGAAGGAAGAAGAAAGAGAGGGAAAGAGGGAGGGAGGGAAGGAAGGAGACAGGAAAGGACAGGAGGGATAACTGATAAATTAAAACCACACACACACTCAATAAACTGCAGTTAAGACAACTGTTTAAATAATATTATGTTATTAAATCTATTACCAGAGTTAATCACAATGAACTAAACTACCTAATTTTAATTTCACCTCTATTCTTAAACACTGGCAAACCTCAATAACAGGAACTTGTCATCAATGAAATGATCAAAAAAGATATCAGGAAGAGAAAAAGAACTAAGGATTTACATAGTGGATAGTCATAGACTCAAAGTGTGATGATAGTTGGGCCTTAGGAGACCATCCAGGGCTTAATCTTTTTTGTGTCATGGTACGTTCTCAAAACAATGTTTTTAAATGAATAAAATAAATTACATAGGATCACAAAAGAAAGCAATTATACTGAAATAGTTATCAAGAAAAAAATTTTAAAACAATTTCACTGATCCCAAGTTAAAAATTACTGATCTAATCTAACTTCCTCATTTTATAGATGAAGAAATTTACTCGAAGAGGTTAAATGACTTGCCTGTGACACTTTTGGTAGTGTGGGGACAAGGTTTTTTCACTTCCAATCTAATATCCTTTCCACTCCCTGACAGTTCCTTACCCAAATAATTATAAAGCTGACCATATGTACTATATGTGCAGTGCTTTGATAGCAAAGAAGTTAAGATAAACTGTTTCCTTTTTGTTACTAAAAAATCAAAACATACCTGGAGCACACGTGTTTTCTGTTGCTGACTATTTGACATTCTTCTTGACTTGGTCTGCTCTACCTCATGTCTATGAACCCATCCTCGAAGTTCATGATTCAACCTATTAAGCAAAATGTTCAATTAAATATGCTTCTTAAAAATAAAATTTCATGGTAGCTACAAACAAATGTTTCACAATACTCTCAACATGCTGAATAAAGAAAGACATTTAATGTACATTGCTTTTTAACATACCATTCATATTCATAAGGCAGCTTACTCAATCACAAGTTAAAAACTGAAAGGATATTCACAGCTAAACACCTGCCAAATATAAATAGTGGAAGGAAAAATTTTTCCATAAAAAATGTTTCCAAAGTTTTCCTCTGCTCTTCAACTGTGTAAGCAAGCATCTCAAGGGCTTGAGGGAACTTAACTTCAAGATTCCTAATTACAAACTGATGTGTGAAAACTTTTGACAATCAGTCTTGAAGATGGTATAGCAGAAGGAGAATTCTAGCCAAAATTCCCCAACATTTCCCTCCAAACAACTTTAAAATAACTCATTAAATCAAATTCTAGAGCAGCATAGCCAACAAAAGGTCAGGGTGAGGTATTTTCCAGGCCAAGATAACATGAGAGGTCGGGAGGAGAAGTCTTTGACACTGGAGTGGGGGCTGGCTACGAGTACACAGTGCAGCAATGACAGCAGTAAGTCTTGGAGGCAGCAAAGCCAGCAGCAGCAGGAGCAGCCCTGGGAGCTCTCACCATGAGGAGACAATAAGGGGTTTGGAGATCTGGTCAGAAAGAGATGAGATGGGATCCCTGGGCTGACACTGGGCATAGCACTGGGTGTCATCTGGCAACTCCAAATGAGGTTTCATGTAAACAACATTTTTTTCATTTCAAAATACCATAACATACTTAAGTATGCAACTCCAACATAATGGAAGGTCCTCAATAATAGGGACTGTTTTTTTTTTTGTCTTTTTATTCCCAGTAACCTAACACAGAACCTGGTACATAGAAGGCTCTTAACAAATGCTTATTGAATTCAACTGAATGAACCACAACCCTAGGAAATGGGTAGTTATGACTACTCTCAAGAAATTAGTGAAGAAACTGAGTGAACATGAGATATATGTTGTTAATAGTAAGAAAAATATAGAAGCACTCTAACTTCTTCTTGCCCAGCCCAGTGGTTTTCAAAGACTATGTGCCGGCAGTGTTGCTAGGCCCTGTGCCACCACAAATCATACAGAACCCACATCTGTAACAAGGAGGACGGGCACCGGTCTCCTTACTGTCCCACAGTGCTGCCAGGGTTGCCAGTTCATCGTGCTTCATCCCCTCATAGCAAAAAAGAATATGGTGCTGCAAGCAAAAGTTTTGAGAGACACTGGTCCAGACATTATCAGTGATCTAATCATCTCTTTGATGATGATGATTTGATGAAGCCAGGAAAAGAGAACTGCTGATTACAGACAACTTTTCAGATATTCTCATACCAACCAAACAGTACTCACCTGAGAGACTCTGAACGGTTAATTATTGGTTGACAAGGAGGTGGAGGAATATACAACAGTGGCTCTTCAGTTACCACCATCAGAGCTTTGTCATTAGAGACAGAATGGTCATATCTGAAATATACAAATATAATCACTTATTTCCTTATGATTCTAGAGACTTACAATAAAGAAGCTGTGGAAAATCATCACCATTATTTAATTTAGATAAGAATATAGTGTCTATAGTCATACTACAAAATAGAGGACTTAATAAAAAATAGGCATAGTGGCTCTATGAAGAGCATATGACAATTTGGCCCCAGATCTTGTTACAACCACCAGAGATGGACTATAAGACCAATCTTAAAAAAATAATTCTCTTTACACATAGCATATACCTAGAGCAATACTTAACCATCATATGCACTTTTAAAAGTAACAAACATAGCCATTTAAAAAAATATACCTACTTCCAATTGCCTGACCTGCTTATTTGAGATTTACTGGTAGGAATCCAAGTATGATTGGTGGTAACCTTACTGCCATCCACCCCCTCCAGAGGAGGATTTTGATACATCTTATAAGTAACCTTAGCAATGCCTGGAATTGTTATATAGGTGTTTATTATTTTATGAAACCTAGATATACTATTACCTAGGCTTTTAAAAACTGATCAATAAAGGGGTGGTTATTTACATTTTGAAAGAATAATTTTCTTGATAACATAATTTTTATAGGGCAAATTCAAAAGCAGCAACCTTAATACATTAGTACATATTTAATTTCATTTATATGCAATTTGTAACATAGATCTATTATATAATTAGCAAGGTGAATTTATGTGGTTAACTTATAAAACTGAGCCAAGAACAGATTTATTTCCTCAAAATAGTGAGTAGGAATTATTTCTCTCTCCTCTCTGGCCCCTGTCACATCCTACCCCATCGCAATAGGTGAGAAAGAGATGATGCCACACATGACAGGGAGAGGAAAAAGTCAACATAAAATAAAATGGTTAGAGAAGAAACTCAATCCAGCACTTGGCAAAAAGAGTAGACTCTTATAAATGCATCAGACAGAGAAACTGATTGGGAACAGTGAAAAAATGAAAGTGTTCAACATCACATTTCTATTTATTTAGAAAACACACACATACATAAAATAGATATTTAAAACTGTGTTCTTGCAAAATACTACAAAAATCCCTTTGAAAACATATTTCTGACTTATTACCTTCTTTCCATGTGACAAATTCTAGTAATGATTTCTGCACATCTGTGTAAACGAGCTTTGTTCTGTCAGCCAAAAATGTTCTTTTGGAAAGGAAAAATATGATAGGAGAAATACTAGGAAAGGGACTGGGTGGAGTTGGAGGAGAAGGGAAAGTGAGCTCCATAAGCCAATGTATAATCTGGAAACAATTAAATACACACTAACCCTGAAATGGTCTGTGGTGTAGGAGGTCTGTGAATCATTTTATATCAAGTGAAAACACCCTCTACAAATGACCCATTAAGGTCTCATTAGACAACACTAAGAAGTTAGAAAATTTCTGGAACAAAGCCTTAAATACAGATTCTGATGGCATGTATACAAGAATACACTGTCACATACTTCCAAGATTTTAAAAGATAATGCACTTACAATATGATGGGCAAGTCAAGGTATGCAGTTACAAACCTAGAAACTATGGACATATAATTTGGTTCTCTCTTTACTTTTTGATCTCATATACAAACCTTTTATTTTCAAGTGAGCATTATATAAAATAGACTTCATTAGGAAGAAACACAGCTTTGAGGGGTAAGTGGTAAATAATTGAAAATTCAGTTTCAATATTAATCCATATTTGGTCCCTTCAAAATGTTTTTAAAACAACAGTGGGTATCTTATCTTCAATATTGAACACAGTAAAAAGAAATAACACCAGGCTAGTATACTGATGTATTTCTTTCTTAGAGATGTCAAATAGTTCGAGTATGTATTCTCACATATCATGATATGAATAAGTAATCAAAAATACAATCCTTTCTATTTTTTTACTAGTTATCAGGTGTCCAAGATAAAATATTAGCCATGATGACTTCTACAGTGAAAAGAACATAGTTTAAATCTCATGCACTGGTTGAAGCCAAAACAAGATTCAGTCTACAATTCACTAAGTAAAATTCGGAATACTGCATTCTAGAATATACAGTCTCTTTTGATGAAACTATCCAATAAAGACAAGAAGGTAAAAACTGCTACTGGTTTTATATTACAAAAAATAAGCACCAAACTTGTACAATTAGCAAATTCTGTGTTACCTGAAATGTAGCCCAACTTCCACACTTCAGCAACAGAATTTTACAGACCAGCTACGAATGCTCAGACCCCTCCTGAACCTAAAAAGTTACATTTTAAAACTACTTAATCTTTGACAGATCTCCTATGGAAAAGGGTAGAACTTCAAAATCAAGGCTCATGAAACCCGTACCTGGCAACAATTTTTTATTAAAATTAAAAGTCCAGGAAGATTCAGGAAAATTGCTAAGTGTTTGATTACATTAATTGTTACTTGCAAGAAGAAAGGCAGGAAATACTATATCAATTTTTTCCAACATTAGCTTTGTTTCAAATAATCAGTAAGTATTTATTAAGCACTAGGTACTATGTACCTAGCACTGTGCCAGGTGCTGGAAAAAGGGAAGGGAATAAGCATTTATATGGTGTCTACTACGTGCCAGGCACTATGCTAAGTACTTTTTCAAATACCTAATTTTGTCCTCACGAGGAAGGTTAAGTGATTTGCCCAGGGTCACACAGCTAGTCTGAAGCTAGATTTGAATTCAGATCTTCATGACTCCAGACCTATTGCTTTATCCACTGTGCTGCCAGTTGTTTCGACTGCTGGGGATGCAAAGAATGAAAGTAAAACAGTTCCCATCCTTAAACAGTTTACAGTATGGCTGGGAGAGACATACACATCTGTCACATATATATGTACAAAACAGACACAAATAAATACAAGATTATTAGATAATAAACATGAGGGAGGCGAATGCAGCTGGGGCATCATAAAAGGCTCAATATAGAAGATGGCACCTGAACTGAGTCTTGATGGAAACTAGGGATCCTATGGGGAACAGGGTAGGGAGTATATTATAGACATGGGGACAATTAGCACAAAGGTATGAAGACAGTCAATGGAGCATGGTGCAAGAAGGTCAGTATGGTCATCTAATGCCTCTGATCACCTTCTCCTCCTCAGGGTTTTCATGACACTTCTTTCCACAAGGGAATTACATCTTTCCAAGCTTCTACGTACATACTTCTAAGAGAGAAAGCATGGCAGAGTGGTTAGGGAAACAGCTACAGAGCCATGAACACCTCGGACACACCTTCCCTGGGTAAACAAGGCCATGTCATAGAGCCTCTCAGTGCTCTGGACAACTCCCTCAAACTACATGTTGCAGTGAAGCTGCCAACTTGCATTAGGAGAAGTAACTGGCTCACCAGAGACTTCATTATATCAGCAAAACCAAAAGTCCAGTCCCTGCCCCTATGTTTATATATGTATGTGGTGTGGTCCTGTGAGAGCACATAAGGCCACTTGAGTAAAAGGACTGTTTCCTTTTTCTTCTTTGTATCTCTAGCACCTAGAAGACTGCCTGGCATTGAGTACACAGACATTTAATAAATGTTGATTAACTGACTGACATGAAGGCCAGTAAATAAGAGCCACCACGATCTGGATTAGGTGATAAATTTGGATGAAGCGAAGGGGATATTGCCTAGAATTCCATGGCTGTGATAATAATTCTCCTGGCTGGTATAGGTTTTGGCAAGAAAGGATCAGAACTATCTTCACCTGTTCTGCAGCCAATACAGCACGATAGGGTCAATATCAATAAAGCTCTTAATTTCTTCTACTAGATCTTGCCTAATAGAAGTTATATTCCTAATATGGGCTTGCCTGTAGGTTAGACTGTAGTTCTGATAAGAACTACAAAGAAATTAGGAAATATTGAAAGCCTATTATTAAATATGGAATGCTCAAAAGCAATTCTGCAGTACATGCACTAAAAAAATAGTAAGTCATCATTTTATTCCTAAAAAGATAGAAAACCTCAACATATTCATGCTGTACACAGTACATTAAAGAACAGTGATTTATCTTACCTAATTCCAGTCTGCAAAGAAAGAGAACTCAAATACAATGAGAATGAGTGAATTGGGGCAGTAACAGGCCTCAAGCCAGTTCTCTCTGGTGTCCCATATCCATTCCTGGCCTCATCAAAGCACTAACGTCACCCAAGCATCAACATATTTTCCTTGCATATTTTGTATCTAAATATCCACTAGCCCTTTTTTCTAGTTCTGTCATCTACATGTGGGTAGGAAGTGCCTGCCACTTATAGAATGCTTTTAGGATTGCAAATCATTTTACAAATATTAATTTCATTTCATCTTAACAACTCCATGAAGTAGGTATTAAGATATAACATAGATGAGTAAACAAATTCAAAGAGCTTAGGTGGCATCTCAAATACAAAACACAACAGGATTTTCTTACAGTTCTCCAAACATGACATTCCATCTCCATGTCCTCTCTCTGTGCCTTAGCTGGGGCTGCTCTTAGAAACCATCCTTTAATCCAAAGTTTCGCTCAGGTGCCACCTTCAGCTTGAGATATTTCTTGATTCCCATTCCTTCTCCCCAGCAGCCCTCCCACAAAACTGCCTTTTACTTATCTTATATTTTGTATGTGCACGTGTGCATGTACTCATACACACACACACAAACCTTTACTGCTAGAATGTAAACTCCTTCAAAGCAGAGGTAATTTGATTTTTGTGCCTAACTCTATGTGTGGCACCCAGTAGGCACTAAATTAATGCTTGCTGATCTAGAAAAGATAATTTACAGGTCATCTGTTCTAATCTCCCCATTTTTACAGATAAGAAAATTCAGGAAAAGAGGAGAATTGACTTGCTTATGATCACACCACAAATTTACTGGTAGAGCTGAGAAGTGAAACCAACATTTATGATTTACCAACTAGTATCACATTAACTCCACTTTTCAGTTTTATTAAGTCAACCAAGAAGTGAAAATATAACAGGACCATGCAGAATCACCTATAATTGTTTTTCTGGATAGCACCATCAACTTTTCTTGGAACTGAATCTTGTCCCTCAGTAGCTGAGAATCCTAAAAGATGTCTGCTCTGATGTGCAGGGCTCATATTAGATGTCACTGTACTGGAATCCCGCTCAAACAGGCTGAAATACAAAAGTATGGAGTAATTAGTATAATGAAAATAAGTTACATATGCATGTTTTAGACTACCAAGAAATAAATTAAAATTCCTCTGTAAGTCTGTACTACCAAAAAAAAAAATCAAAGTAAATTGGTACAATGTAGTCAAGTGCTTTGTAGGGCAAATCTGCTGCTCATTATAAACAATTCTTACAAAGGATGTAAAAAATAGCCTTTTTACAAATGGTTAAACAACAAAGACCAATGTGAGATAGCTTAAGAATATTTTGTGTCTATATATATATATATATATATATTATACATTTACATTTTACATATCTACATTTTTTTTTTTAAATAAACTCAGGTGACAAGTCAAGAAGTTCCTTCAGGATTACTGTAAACTTCAGTCCTCAATCAGGAAATAAATGTTTACAGGAAAAATCATCTTCTCAAGACACAATATATCCTCATAATTCCAGAGCACAGACAGGCTCCTAATACCAAATTATTTTTTAATAAAACTTTGCTGCCATTCTTATTTACATTTAAGATCTCCCTTTCCACCTTGCCATCCCTTTCAACAAGAGAAGGCCTCTAGGTGAACTTAGTGATTTCTGAGATAAAAAAAAAATTAACAAATCCTGTTATCACTACTTGGCATTTATTCTAACTCATTAATAATACTTGTGGGGTCTTAACAAGTCAATAACTTTTTAGTATACTTTATCTTATAAGACATCCATTGCATTAACACTATTTGTCATAATCTCAAATCAACACAACAGTCAGCACTTTATTAAGAGTCTATGTGCTATGCATAGTGCTAGGAAGACAAAGAAATGCAAAAGACAACCCTTGCCCTCAAGGAGTTTACAATGAACAGAAACTGAAAAATGGGTGGAGGGGAGGTACTTGACAATGGGGAATGATGGATGGGAAATGAAGAGATGCACAGCCTGGGTGCCCTCCTTAAATGGAGGTTCTGGGAGGAGGTCTACACTATTCACTCTCCAATCAGAGGAATGGAAAAAGGGGCCCCAAGGGCAGAGGGTATTGAGGAGGTATCAGGTCCTGGGCTGAAGTGATCTTGCAAGGGGATAATAACAGGTGTAAGGCCCTCTCCTTTGAGGCAGTGTGAAAAAGGAAATGGGCAGAGGAGTTTAGAATCTTCAGATTTCAGACTGAGGAGGGTAGAAAGAAGATAAAGGAATAGACTGAAAAAAGGGTGAATAATATCTTTTAGTTTGAAGAGGATTGATGCAAGGATGAAAACTGCTGTCTTAGTGGTGATTTATCTGTCAGTGGCAGGGTCAAGAACAGGAGTCCTTTAAAGAGCAGGAATCTCTAAAGCCCTTTTCTCCTTCCTTCTTTAATCCTTTATTTCTATTCTCCACTCATATTACAGGCCACAAAGCCTTTGACAGTCCCACATTCACAGCTTATTCACATATCACAAACATAAAAAAAATTCCAAATACAGTGAGAATGCTACTGTATTTGATGTTAACATGTACATTTTTTTCCTATTCAAAGCACACCACCAACATAATAATGTTGAGAATAACTGATATGAAATGTGGCATCTTTCAAGGAGATATTAAAGCCCAATATGGTCCTGCTTAGCCTTCAATCCATTATAATTTCTCCTAAATAAAACTTCCAACTTAAACAGAGTCCAACCAAAAACCCTATTAATTGTTTAATGTACATAGATAACATCAACCTATCTGGCTCCAGAGAAAAACATTCAATAACTCAATTGATTTCATGGAATATTACTCCAGAGATATAAAAATGTCATTTGAACCTGAATAAAGTACATCAAGAAAGATACACTGGGAGCAGCTAGGTGGAGCAGTGGATAGAGCACCAGCCCTGGATTCAGGAGGAATCCAGCCTCAGACACATAACACTTACTAGCCGTGTGACCCTGGGCAAGTCACTTAACCCCACTGCCTAGTAAAAACAAAACAAAACAAAAAAAAAAAAAAGAAAGATAAACTGAAGGCTTTGAGCTTGAATCCAGAGATTACAAGCAACCATTGGATGAAGCCAATACTTACAAATACCTTGGTCTCCTCTAGGAAAGCATATACTTTGTAAGCATAATATATTGAGACTTATTAGCATCCTGAAATTAATGCTGAATGGGAAGAACATGTTTAAAGTAATTAACATCTGTGTAATACTACTCTCACTAAAAACTCTTGGAGTTGTATAATAGAGATAACAGATTTGGAAAACATCCTCACTAAAACTCATGGAATATTAGCATAACAGAGCTCATCCCCCTAGGGCAGTTAGAGAAACCCTAGCTCACCAAAAAGGTGGAAAAATACTAATATACTTTCTTAGAAGACATGATGAAAAGATTGAAAACCTACAGAAATACTTTTGGAACAAGTAGATATTACTTATGCAAGCAATAGTGAAAGCTGATAACAGGAACACACCACTGGAGTCATCAAACGTAACCAGAAGTGGTTAACCTCCAGATAGAGTCGATGAAATGGCTAAGATTCATGACAGGGATGACATCGGCATGAATTTAGTCAACAATATGTAGGCAAAGAAACATCAAACAAATGGCTGAATCATGGAGATTTGTTTGTGAAAACAGTGGGTTTGTGATAGCAATTCAGTTAGGTAATTCATTATCATGAAAAACTGCAAAAAGATTATCCTTAAGGAGCCCTGACTTAGTGATAAATGTATATACTGCAGTTAAAAAATCAAGCACCAACCAATAACTAGAGCAAAACATGACCTCTTAGCTAGAATTACATATCAGTAGCTCACTATCTTGGGATACTAATATGGTCTTGATAATAAAACAAGAAAGAATCAAAAAAGAGATACCAATATCCCTAATGAATATTGATAGGAAATTTTTAAGTAAAATATTAGCACATACTACAGCAACATATGACAAAGATCATATAGCGTGACCAGGTTAGATTTATACCAGGAATGCAGGGTTAGTTCAGTATTAGGACAATTATAAACATAACTGACCATATTAATAACAACAACAAAAACCATATGATTCTATTAATGGATACAGAAAAGGCTTTTGACAACACCCATTCCTATTAAAAAAACTAGAAATTATAGAAATAGATTTTTCCTTAATATGATAATTAGTATCTATTTAAAACAAAGAGCCAATATTATCTATACTGGGATAAAAGAGAAGCCTTTCCAACAGGCTCGGGAGTACTGATTATAATCGTTACTATTCAACAGTACTAGAAATGCTAGATAGAGCAATGGTAAGAAAAAGAAATTGAGAGAAGAAGTGCAGGCAAAGAAGCAACAAAATTATCACTTTCTGAAGATGATGTGAAGGTTTACTGAAGAAGCCGTGAAATTAAAATAAAAAACTAATTTAAACAATAACAACTTCACCAAAGTTGCAGGATATAAAATAAACACACAAATCACCAGCATTTCTGCATATTAACAACAAAACAAAGCAGGAAAAAGATAGGAAAAAAATCCATTTAAAATAATAACAGAAGGTGTAAAATATTTGGGAGTCTGCCTACCAAGATACCACATAGGAACTATATGAATACAATTACAAAGCATCTTTACTGAAATAAGGACAGGTCTAAATAAATGGAAAAATTTAATTGCTCATGGATAAGCTAAGCTAATATAGTGAAAATGACAGTAATACCTAAATTAATTTACTCATCCAGTGTCATAACAATAAAACTAATAAGAATTACTTCATATAGCTAGAAAAAATGACAAAATTGATCTGGAGAAATAAAAGGTTATAAATGATGAGAGAATTCATGAAAAGAAGTGGGAGGGAAAGGGGCCTAGCAGTACCAGTAATGATCTAAAGAAGTGCACTATATTTCATGGACTGACAGACTACAGATCTCAATACTTGAACTACAGACCTCAAAATATCCTGAAGACTCAATAAATAAATTACAAAAATCAGATCATTATCAGTCTCAACTGTTCACAATAATCCAGACATAATACTGATCAAAAAATTTTTAAGAATAATCTTTTACACTTTATATTTTTAACAGTTGTCTCAAAGCTACAAAGAATGAAGGCTTTCAAAACATAGAAATTTAGCAGAGGAGGTCAAAATTACATGGGGTAAGGGAAAGGGAATAAGCATTTATTAAGCACTTACATGCCAGGTACTGCACAAAGCATTACAAATATTATCTCATTTGATCCTCACAAGAACACAGCAAGGTAAGTGATATTATTATCCTTGTTTTACAGTCGAGGAACTGAAGCAGACAGAGATCAAGCAACTTGCCCAAGATCACACATAGTTAATAAATGTTTAAGGCTGAATTTGCACTAAGGTATTCCTGACTTCAGTTCAGTGCTCTATTCACTGTGCCCCCTAGCTCCAGTGGGAACAGTATGAGGTACATATCTGTTGTCCTCTTTGCTACTGGAGTTGTATCAAGGATGCTTTTAGCAAGCCTACAGAGGATAAGCTTATATCCTAATACTTTCATTTCTGTCACAGAATTGCGTCTATCTGAACTTCATTAAAAAGAGAAGAAAGGATAATAATAATAATTATAAATAACTGTGCTGAAAATTGAGCATTATTATGACAGATAACATTGTTGACCACTATCCCTAGGACATAACAATGATCAATAAACATTTTTGCACATTTTTAATAGCTGTTTCCATGCCAAATACTCAATCTCCAAGTTAAGTAAAATGAAAAGCTTACACAATATAGACTTAATAGAAGAAACCAAAACCTTGAGGGAAGAGGATGAAGTACATATCATATACATATGCACATATACACTACATATGTACATACATATATATACAGATATGTGTATAATCATTATATCTAACACACACACACACACGAACATATCATGAAAACAATGATTACGGATGGAGGCCTTAATTCATGTTTTGGGCTAAGAGGCAACAAAACACTAACAAAATGCAGGTGACTTTAACTTTGAAACATTCCTTGGAAAAAGGCGCCACAGTAGTTGTTGTTTTT